AGATGGCTTACTGAACCCGAAGGTTCATCACCGAATTAACCAAAGCCTTCCACCGGACCCTGTCCTGGGCCAAAAAAATCCAGTTTCTTTCAACTCCTATCTCCCATAGATCCCGCCTGAGATTATCCTCCCATCTACGTCTAGGTCTCCCCAGCGGTCTCTTCCCTTCAGGTTTCCCAACCAGTACCCGGTGCATACCTCTTGTCCCATCCATGCGCGCTATATGTCCCGCCCATCTCACTCTTCTCGACTTAATCACCCTCACAATACTGGGGGAGCAGTACAGATTTTTAAGCTCGTCATTGTGCAGTTTTCTCCACGCCCCATCGTCTTCCCTCTTAGGCCCAAATATCCTCCTCAACACCCGATTCTCAAACACCTGCAATCTGTGTTCCTCCCTCTAAGTGAGAGACCATGTTTCGCACCCATACAAAACAACAGGCAAGATTATTGTTTTGTATACTTTAATTTTCAGGTTTTTAGAGATCAGACGGGAAGACAAAATATATTGAACTGGGAAGTAGCAAGTGTTTCCGGAATTTAGTCTCCTCCTAACTTCCTCATGAGTGTCATTTTGATTTGTTATTGTCGTTTCCAAATATTTGAACTTTGTCACACTTTCAAAGGATTTATTAGCCACCGCAAGATAGTTCTGCCCGCCTCTCTGCTGACAACGAGATACTAACATGTACTTATTCTTTTCTGAATTTACTTCTAGCCCCACCTGTCTACTAGCCTCCAGTAAAACTTCTGTGTTACTCTTTATTGTATTTGTATCGTCACCCAATAAATGAATATCAACAGCATATGCCAATAGCTGATGTGTCCCATTCAATTACAAACCCTCCTGCCAATCTTGGATTTTCCTGATGGCGTATTCTAGCGCAAAGTTAAAGAGCAATTGAGACAAAGCATTCAATGTTATTTTAGGTCACATAGTGTTACATCACGGTACCTCTCAAAAGTGAGTACTGACAATTCTAATCATCCTGTGTCATTAAATTCGCGGTCACCACAAACTGAATGCTACCCGTGATGACCTTGACCCCGTGGCTTCAGCCACGCCTGGCTGATATATCGATTTACCTCATCTTCCGCTAAGCACATTCACGTCAACCTGACGTCATTCACCTCGATGTACGCATGGATTTGCCCCAGACCTCGTGGTCAGTTTCACTGAAACCTGAAGAGACTCGTTAAGACTATGTACAGAGGTGCCATCATATTGACCTTCAAACTCGAAAATTAGAAATACGCTACTGGTAAAATCTAAAACCCTCGGAACCAAAGAAGTGCAAAATGCTGTTAAATGGCTTATCGACTGGCAAAAGATTACTGCCTAGACCTAAATAACGAATTCTGGATCGTTCAGTTTCGCTTGTAAAAATAACAACAGCAATCTGATGAGACTATAGCACACCTAATATCCAGATGTCCAGCTGTAGCAAAGAAAAGCAGCTATACATAAACATAACAGGGTATGCACCCAACTGCATTTAGTAGTAAACAGGTAGGAGTGAAGAGAGCAAATGGTACGAACATGTACCAAAGCCAGTGACACATGTAAAATTATCA